GCCCCCGCTGCTCCTTCGCAGCTGCAGCCGGGGAGCTCCCAGCACACACACACGGCTTTTATTCTCCCACCGAGGACGCTCGGGATGGAAGAGGAAACACAGCTGACCCTAAGAGAGGCTGCTGCAATTGGAAATGCAGCTTCCAGGCACCACATTTCAGGAAAAAAAAAAAAAACAGCATTGTTGTCATTCAACTTTACGGTTAACGATGAGCCGCGCTCCCGACCCGGAGCTCCAGCGAGGCAAAACGACAGCACAAACCAAATTTTCTTCTTCCTCTTCGCCGTAAGGATGCAGGGATCCGCAAGCGGGATGGCCAACCTCCAATGCAGCCTAGATGGGGGAAAGAAGCAGAGCCAAAGATTTCAGTTTTGACAAATTTTAGTATTAGGTTGGACCTAAATCCATCGTGGTCCATTTTCTTCTGGCCCCGACCCCCTGGATTTAGCCGTGCCAGGCTAGAGCAGCGGGATAAGCCGCTTAACCATCGAAATTCAACTGCCTTCCAAAGGGTCACAGAAATAACTGCCATTAAAACACGTCTACGTTAGTGGGATCTTCAGATTGGCCCTTCTTTGTAGAAAAAACATGTTTGCCTCCATGCCAAGATGCTGTTTGCAAGGTCAAAGCTATTCCATGCAGGAAGACTCAAAGTCCACCTCAATGAAGAAGAAATCAGAATTGCCAGTATTAGGTGACAATGGAGTGATAGAAAATGGTGGACAATGGTGTGACAGAAATGCCACCTGCTGAGGAAAACTAGAGTGCAAACAGCACCTCACGTCCCGTAGCGCTCAGCTTCTTGGTGGGAGTTGTTAAAAACCCAGCGGGTAGCTTTCCGAGGTGGATCTCCCCTCCCTGTGGCAGGCGGCACGGCTGGCGGCCACGTGAGCAGCTCCCAGGTCTGGTTCTTCGGGCAGCTGATGAGATTTGCCAAGTACCTCTTCAGGCTGGCAGAAAGACGACAGCAACCGGTGTTAAGTGCTCTCAGCACCTCCCTGCATCAGGCGCCAAGCTCGCCAAGCGAACCGTTCCGAAGGCGGCCCTTCCTCCTCCGCTTGGAGAGCACAAAGGCGTTCGGCTGCGAGGAGAAAGGGAGACAAAAAACCCAACGGTTGTAACTGGGTACAAGGGTAGACTCCGGGGTAAAGGGCGATCGGCAAAACTACAGATGATTTGATTTTCCGGCAGAGACGGGCAATTTGGTCTCAGAAATACAAGCGGCAACGCGTTTGGGGAAAAAAGGAAAGCCACCCCGAATCCCAACCGCCTCGCACCGCCGTTTGCGCGTGCAGTCGGAGCACAGCCACGCAGCCAGCTCACTTCGGGAGGAAGGAAACAGGATGAAAACCTCTTAAAAACAATGATTAGTACAAGCAGGTGCTGCTGGAGCAGCCCCATTCCCAGCAAACACGCTCTCTGCCTCGACAGCAGCGCGATTCCACATTCATGGCAGCAACTAGGAATGGGCAGTGTCAGCCTCCACCGCCGCCACGTTGTTGCGAAACACCTAAACACCAGCATCTTCCATTTTCCAAAGCCTTCATCCGTAGGTGAGTTGAAAGCCTGTGCCGCTGTTCTTACCAAACGGGGAGATTTACAAGAAAAAACAGTCGTCTTCAGATACCTGAAGGACTCACAATGGTATCAAAGAGTTTTGCTCTTCTTTTACCGGAGAAGCCACCCGCAAGGCACACGTTTTTTGACACGCTCCGCAACGGTCACCGGAAAGAGCTCTTACCATAAACGCTTTCTTATTAACATAGTTTCTGTAATTAAACTTCCAGCGCACAACTATCAGTGCAACAGGAGATAAACACTTTGCTTTTGAAGGGAATTAATTTATTTGGAGATCTACATCACACAGGCACGCTGCTGGAGATCCAAGCAATGCCTGACCTCAATATCGTTAAATTCGTGCTCCGGGGAGCTCTCTTGGATTTTAAATACTTTTTTTTTTTTAAGAACAAAGTTATCTCTTCTGAAATAAAGCCACGCTTAAACACCGGCGATGCCCCAAAAGTCACCTACACCAGTTTTTCTAGTTGTTTTCTTGGAAACCAAACAGGCAACAGACATAAAACAAGCAGGTTTGTGACGTTTTGGTTACCAACGGGGCAAGGAGGCGGAAGGACTCTGACTCCCCCCGAAGGGAGGGCAGGCAATACGTGTAGGAGAAGCTGCGGGAAACACCACGGTTCCCGGCTGCAATGTGCTTTTGAGGAGTCCCGAGACATCCCTGCCAAGAGTTCTCGGGTTCCTGTTCAAAATTCGTGTCCCATAAAAACCGATTTCACTGATGAGCGGATCCGCTGCGGCAGCTG